AATTGGAATTTGGAAAGTCTAAAATAGTTAGTATTACATAGTAAAAGCTTAATAAATCTATTTTCTTGTAATGAAATAGTTAGTAAATAATTAGATTATATGGGCAATATGATGATCTTGATATTAAGGATTCAAGGATCACCTACAAATCTATAACTTGTTAATAAGTGTTCTATTATATTAGAATTGTTTGGCTTAAGTATAGTATTATATTGTATATTGTATTATTATTATTCAAAATTGAATTAATAAATACACTACTAGCAGTTTGATTAGAGAAAAAAAAAAAAAGTAAACTGGTTTTAATTTTTTATATAAAAATATTTTTATATAGAAACTAAAAAATTTTTTTGATATACTGTATATAAGATTAAATAAAAATTATAAAGATTAAATTGAAACAAAAACTTTAAAAATATAAAATATTATTTTTTTTAAAGTAGTTATTGTATTGTTATATTATCTTTCTACTATTTTTTTTTATTACTTTACAAAATTTAAAATCTTAATTAAATTATTATTAATAATATCTTGTAATAAAAAGATTATAAATATTTCAGGTTTTATTAAAAATTCAGATTAAATTGAACAATATTTATTTCAAACAAGAAATTAACAATATTAACTTTCTTTTTATTAAAATAGTTTTCAATTAGTAATAAAATATCATTTATAAAAAATAAGTTCTATTTATTAGTAATAGATTTTGGCTATTTCTATTACAATTTCATAATTTTATTCTTAAGCTTAATATTTTCTTTTGTAATCTGTTTTAATTGAAGATTTTAACTTTAAGCTTAATATTTTTAGTTTTATATTTGATACTTACTTCTATAATCTGTTTTAAAAGCTTGATATTTTTGATTCAAACTTAAAATTTTTAACTTAAAGCTCAAAAATTTATTGTTTTAATAAACAAATTTATTTTAATTTGAAATATATGTTTTAATAATATATTATCTATATACAATATATTTATTGATTATTTAAAATATACTGTGTGACACAAAAATTTTGGACTAATATTTTTTAATACTGTATATAAATTTATCCTTTATTTGTAGATTTCACTGATTTTTCTATAGATATTATATCTAAACATTTGGATCTGAATCAAATTTAGTTAGGTTATATAAAAATGAGATCTCTGGTCTTTTTAATAATTATAGGCTAAAAACAAATTGAAATAAAAAAGGTTGTATAAAAAAAGACTTTTAATCTAATTTCAATAAAAGTCTATATCACTTATTATTAGAAAATAAAGTTAACTTATTAATATAGACATTAATATTAGATCAATTATAGTTCATTTAGAAATATTTCTATATAAAAGTTATATCTTGCTTAATATTTATATCTCTAAATTTGATAATTTAAGCTAATTGAATTTCTTTTCTTAAAATATTTATTAAAAAATATTAGAGTTAAGCTTTACTTGATCTATGGCTCTTAAATTTGATAGTTTATATAAATCAAGGATAGTACCGTACTGCGTGGACTAAAATACCCTCCCCGGTATAGTACCCCTCACGATTTTTCAAGGCTTAGAATGTATTATACCCGGGGTACTGAACATGGAAAATTGAAAAATAAAAGCATTTAGAATGTAAAGTACCCCACAGAAATAATGCATCCTAAACACGTTTTTAATCTTTTTTATATAATTTATATTTCCTACTATAATATCCCCTACTCTAATCATAGTATCCCCCTAACTATAATACCCGTCTATTTAAATTAATTTGTAAAATATCCAGGGTATTTTAGTCCACGCAGTACGGTAGTTTTTTAGAATACTTATTAGGAAGTATATATATATTGAATATTTTCTAATTCTAGAACTATATAAATTAAAGATATAATATAAAAAAAAATAACCTATCAAATAATAATAAGTTCCAAAAAAGATTTCTTAATTTTAAATTATTCAATATATTATTTTTTCAAAGATTCAAAATAAAAAGTATTAAGATATTTAGTTGTTCTATTTATTTCTGCAAGATAGATCTATTTTTTGATAAAAATGGATTAACAAATTAGATAATTTAAGCTAATGGCAAGACTTTTATTTTTTGATTAGTTTTATCTGATATAGAAATTTACTTTTAAAGTGTAAGTTCTAATTAGATTAAAAATAGAATATATTATTATTTAGCTATAGTCTAGTATTACAAATAATATATAATATATAGTTAAAAAATATCTATATATATAGTATATTAATAAATAATTGATATTTAATATTTATTTTATTATAAAAAAATATTATTATTAATTTTGTATTTGTATTTTTTTTTTTTCCTCTAATCAAACTGCTATTAGTGTGTTTATTAATTCATTTTGAAAAACAATAATATTATAAATGGCATTGTACATAGCTAAACTATCTATTATAGCAGAACATCTGTCAACAAGTTTCAGATTTGTATATGATCCTTGAATCCTTAATATCAAGACCACCATGTTGCCCACATGATCTAGCTATTCACTAACTATTTCATTACAAGGGAGTAAGTTCATTAAGCTATTACTATGTGGTACTAACTATTTTAGACTTTTCAAATCCTAACTCTCTAGATGTAATTGTGGGGAATGATAAAATTGCTCCTTCCTGAAGTTGAATACCTTTGATCTTCACTTCAAGAGATCAACGCCAACCTATACTTAGACTGTCACTCCAGCACAACCTTGTTATCCTAAGAGAAAAAAATTTTATTTTTCTAAGAAATAAGGGAAAGATAAAGAGAAAAGGAAAAGTTTGTACTGGTAAATAAAAACCTATCTAAATCAATCACCAGCCTAATGAGAGCCTTCTTTGATCTTGAGGAGAAAAGAAACTGGCACAAGAGGGGAGGAGGAAGACTTCAAGCCACTTCTTATCAAAAAGACATCTCAACGCCTTGCTCTTTCATTATTATCCAATCACATCATCAGTTATAATGTGGTATGACATGGAACACGTGAGAGTACGTGTCTTGTTTACTTTTCTTTTATATGTCGATCAACCAGTCCCAAAATTTCAGCCAATCACCAACCAGAGATTCTGATATAACAAAAAATTTAGGGTCAAACTGAGGTAGGCAAAATTCCTCAGAAAAAATCCAAAAAAAAATTTGTCACGCTTGAAAATACTATCGCCAAATGTATAACTGGTGAAGAAAGATTATACACCTGTACAGATAGATTCCTATCAGCTTATCCACCCACCTGGATTACAGGATTTCAACTTATGGTGGACCCAAGGTTCTTATGGCGCTTGGAAATTGCATTCGCTTGATAGGCCCAACTAGCTTATCCATCTGCCTTAGACCGAAGGTTGTTTACTTATGGTGGACCCAAGGTTCTTATGGAGCTTGGGAAATGCATTTACTAGTGGTTCACTTTCTGGAGTTCCAGACCTAGGGAGAATATAGTGGAGGGTGTTTTTTTGATAGGTTTCTTCTTCCCAATAAGGTGTTCTTGCCATAAACCAAATGGGTAAAGTTTTGTTTATTTTGTTGTTGAAATATCCAAAGTTTTTAGAAGGAAGAGTAAACAAGTGGGGGGAGGCACCTGCCTTCAGGAAATGATGTTTTTAAAGAAAGTGTATAGACTTTATTATTAAAAATAAAGAAATATTTTTGAGAACGTCTGTTTTTTGGGTTGGCAAAGGGATCAGCGGAAAGAGTTCGTATAAGAATAGTATTATATATAATATTTATAATATTATAAAAATAAAAGATACAGAAAAATAAAAAAATAAAAAAATATTAATATAGGAAGTTTTTTTAACAATTAAAAAATAAGCAAAACTCTTAAACTCGAATAGGCTTTGATTAAAGGTTTTATTTTATTGTAATTGTTATTTTTAAGATTTTAAGATTTTACTATTTTGTATATACTATACATGTACTGCATATAGGAAATAAATAAAATTAAAAATTGAGATTTAAATATATTCAAATATTGTAAATATTATAGAATATATTTAGCTATTGTTAACAAGAGATTTTATTATTTTCATTGATATTCCTTTTTGCAAAATTTTTTTTCTGTGGATAAATACTTTTCATTAATGTTAGAAAATTTATAAATCGTAATTATAGTTGTTGATAATAATTTTAAACAAAAAAATACCAATATATCTTTTATTATCTTTTAAAAGTTAGTAATTAGTTACGGCATTATTTCTTCGGATTATTATTCGTGAAATTTTCTATTTAAAATTGGTAAAAAATACTGTATAATAATTAATCAGGTATGAATCAAACCATTTCAATTATTATTGTTTTTATGTTCTATGCATATGCATATTAGTTTTTTACCAGAATATAAGTTATCTACATATATATTATTTCATCTGTTAGTTCTTGATTATAATTATATCAAATGATTATGATGAATAATAAGCGTAGTTTATAAATGCTTGATATTCAAGGTTTTTTAATCGGTATCTATTCGAATAGCGGTAATTGCTATTAATTCGTCAAGTAGTTTAATCAAAAAGAGAAAGATTTGTTCGCGGTATATGCAGTAAATAACCAATATACATTTTCCTTTTATGCTAATTACTTACACATCTATTTGTGCTTAATACTTTAACATTTTTATTACTATGAAATAATACCTTTTGTGAATAAGTTTAATATTTTACAGTGAATATAACGGTGTTACTAAAACTACAGCAAAAACAATAAATAAGTGCTGCTACATTTAAAAATTGGTCTACAAATTTGAAAAATTTCATAACATTAAATAATATATAGTTTGTGCATGCTCGATAGTAAACCACTTCATTGTATTGGGCCTGAACTGAATGCGAAATAATTAAATAAGGAAACTGAATAAGTATTATAAGCAAAAAAATAGAACATCAGTTTCTACTATATGTATAATCTACCCAACAGCCAAATAATATATACACCAGCCAATTGTTCAAGATTCAAAGAAGTAATGAATATAAAATAAATACTGTACAAATTTTCCGAGGAAAAAAAATTGATAAAAATAAAAGGCAAAATTCACGTCTCGAAACCTTTTATAACCTTAAGAGGTTGTAAGTCTTGCTTTGGTACAATCTCCGTCGTCGAATCTGCCCTATCTTCAGAAATTATGGCCACAACACCATCGCTACCGCGATGGACCCTTGCAAAATTTTCCATTTTTTGTTGATGGATTTGATTGTCCTCTTCTTCATCTGCTGTGTCATCTGAAGTTCCGTTAGCATCAACGGTACGGGTTTGTGCATCTACAAGTTTATCGAGTTGATCGAATGCATCTGCCGTGAAATCCACATCAAATAAGTCACTTGCAAAACGCCGAGTAGGCAGTCTATAATGGTATGATGACAACATCTGAGCCACCTTGTAATAGGAATCTATTTTTGAGAATATTTCTGGATATTGAGATTTTATCCTGTTGCATAGATCATATTATTCATTATTCAGGTCATAAAAGTATAATATCAATAGTAACATAGCACAAATATCACTCACTTGGATAAACTTTTTGAGCCAGCACTTGACAATATCCTATTGGTTAAATTTGCCATTGCTTTTAACAGGTCCCTTTCAGCCTGTGAACTTGGAACTATAGACTTTACAGGCAGATCAGGTGTATATTCAAATCCTTTGTAAGTCCATTTTGGAAACTGCCAACCAATGATGGATAAGCATCATTAGTATCATCAGTATAAGTATTAATAGACAATCACACTATTTTATACTTACTGAGAGAAATGCATCAGAATTCATAGGGCAACATAAGCCAGTTCCTATTTCTGTATATGGATCATATACACACTCCCACTTTAAGTCTTCTAAGATTTTGACACCAGATGCAGTTTTTGCAATTAAACCCAGTACAAAAAAGCAAGTTCTAAATATAAAAGCACGTCCAATAAGCGAAAAAGTTCATATAATAAATAATCGAAATATAAATTCAAAAATTCGAACCCTTTTAATGAAAGGACAGTGGAATTTTCAGAAATGGAAACTATGTCTTTTACAATATCTTCCTCTTCCAAAAATTGCAGCCCACTTTTAGATGCTCCAATATTTCCCTAAATAACCATATCCTGAATTAATTTATCCGCAAGGAAGGTTGAATTTACGTGAAGATGAATTATAGAAACTTACTACAGCCCAGAGGATCGATTTTAGTTTTGAAATTATAACAGCGTCGCGTCTTTCCATTCCATGTTCTCTTATGAAATTTGCAAACTCGGAAAAATGACCTTTCTCTCTTAACAATTGGCATCCCTCTTCTGTTTTAGTAAGTTCACCGTAAAAGTGTGCCGGAGACATCCCATCAAAATTGTGCCTAGTTATTTCGAGCACATCGATGCAAATTAATATGACTAAACAATCACTACGTTTTCATCAATTTAGGACAAGCTTACATTTTAACTTCCTTGTCATCATCATCTCCACGTACTTCATCGCCATCAAGCTTCAATGCATTTGCTAAGGAGACCTCCAGCTGGGTCACATAGTACTGATTACGAGACTATTCGCGTAATATAAAAATTCAATTCATCATGATTCATCAATTGTGATTTGATTGTCATAATAGTACAAACCTGAAACCATTCGTCCATTTCTTTTTCGACATAATCAGATTCGGAAAGATATTTGAATCCAATGGAAGTGGATAAGAATCTCAACAGTAAGGGATTGCCCACTTCTCCTAGATTATCTAAACTAGGTCGTAGTTTGACAAGCAACTCAATGTTTTCTTTGTGGTTACATGTTTCTTCCAGAACACGCACCGCCACTTGGCACACTTCCATTGCAGGATCATATAACTAGTAAAAAACCGATTAATTCATTAATACAGGAACTGAAAACTGTTAAATAAGTTTTGAGAGTTATGTTACCTGAGTTATGAGTAATTGGATTCCCCACTCATTAAATTTATTAGACGACGTACGCAGGATTAGTCCGAGGTGTTTTGTGGCATAAAGTCGAACACGCTTTAAATAATGCAAGCAATGTATAAATATAAATTGGAAATCGTGGGCGAGAGGTGACTCGGTTATAATTACCTTATATCCTGAAGTCATCACTTTTGAAAGAAGGATACGAGGATGTGCATCTCTGGTAACAATTAAAGTTATTGTTTTAAAGCTGTCACTACATATGCATTGAGTCCAATTATGTAATTGATTCAGATAAAAATTTAACATACAAGCCGTAATCAAGATTCGTTATTATGGCCTTTATCAGATCCTCTCGGCTTCGCAATTCACTTAGATGGTAAAATGTGTTGAAAATTTTGAATTTCTCTAATAATCTGAAATTTTACAATATATAAATTTACTCTTTTTAAGGAAAAAAGAAATGTTCAAATAAACATATGTATATAATTAAATAGAAAGTGAATACTTGATTCCGTCCTTGAATTTGCTGAGAACACCTATCATGGTAAAATATCCGGATGTCAACGTATTATTTATTCTTTCCTTGGAAAACAATGGTTCTGTCTCAAAAGTTCCGTGAATCTAAAAATTAAACAAAAAAATAGGTTGATACTACGCAGCTCCTTCGAATAGGAAAAAAATTTTACTTAAAGGGAACGAGTTAATACAGGATCAAGCTGATTCAAACCGTCCGCAATCTGCCTTAGAAATTTATTGCTTTCCAAATACTTTACACCATCAACATTAGCCAACAACGTCGTTATGAGCGTGCACCCCAATTGTATGTAGCGTTCATTATCCTTAAAAATAGATTAATTGGATAAATAACGTCTTTAAAACGGGATGAGAAAAGAATGTAATTCAAAATATTTACATGACATACAGAAGTTTTTTCAATTTCGGAAAATCGCCGACTGGTCGGTCTAAAAAATCCAAGAAGTCGCTTCATAAACTTGGATCTGATTGCTTCTTCGAGTCGCCTCGGGTTGAGTAGTGGGCCTTGCAATAATTCCAGCAGTGTTTCCCAATTCCATTTAAGAAAATCTTTAGTGTTTAGAACCTGATTTTTGATAATTATGGTTTTATTTATATATTGTTCGTTGAATAGTTATATATTAATCATTAGAAAGTTACCTGGGTTTCCAGTAACATGTTCCTAAAATGGGCGTCATCAATCTGTATCCCCATTTTAATTTTCACATTCTCAACCTGACGTGCGTTTCGTCTTCGTTGATTTGGTGAAGACGTTGAATCATCGGTATCTATCGCGTTTACTTGCAGACGACTTCGAGTTCGATTTAAATTATCAATATGCGATAATGCTGCTGTTGCGCTGTGACGTACAATTTCATTATCAAACTTGGTGGCTAGGTTAAAAAGTTTGGGGAGGGACTAATGGCAAGAACACGAATTTGATTAAAAAAAAAATGTCAAAATCATTTCGACTGTCATTTGCGATTGGAAACCTGCCTGTATTTTTATTGATCGATTTACAGATAGTAGTCGATTGGACAGTTGAAGTATTTCCCCGATAAATAGTGTTGCTCTGCGCGCAACATGCTGGTTTTTATCTTCAATAATTTCAACTAGCGCCTATGTATGTCGTCTTATTAGAAATTTCATTCTCATATGACGATATTTCCAAACAGTTTAGGAACTTACATCAAGAAGTCCTGCATCTATGAATATCTCTAACAAGATTACCAAATGGTGATCTAACAAATTAAGCCTGTCTTGGACTTTTAGCGAATCGGGTTTGTGTTCACTATTTTTTTCTCCGGGCGATAATAGTCCATAAACTGTGTTCAAGTTTTCATGTGGTTCAAATAACTTTGTATACGTGCATACCTAAGACGTCAATAAATCTTGAATCTTAAATTTAATTACCCGTGAGCCTTTTTCCCGATAAAAAACTTGGATACCAATCTGGCGCTTTGATGCGGAAAATGTTGAAAAACATATCAAGCATAATTTCCTATTTATTTTCAAAAAGAAGGAAAGGTCACAATCGGATACGAAACACTTGATCATAAAAAAAGATTTTTTTTTTTTGTATTTTTTATACCATCTAGGTAATAAATTAATAGAACCGACATCAACTAACCCGTATTTCATCCGATGTAATTCTGAAGGATTCCACGATAGATCTCACGGCTTGTTTATTATCTACGCATAAGTATATAATTCCTGTCCACGATTTCAATAGTACTGATATTGCTCTGGAGCTGGCCCTCACTTGTTGTTCAAACTTTTGACCTTTGTTGCACGCATCAGTGAAACCGGAAAGAACAATCTAAAGTAGATCGCAATCATTACTGAAATGTCTTCTTCCTAAGAGTTTACAAATATAAGCTTTTTCTAACCTCTAAATCAACCCCGGGTCTTATGCAATCTCTAGAATCAGGAGTATCTATCACATATAATAAAGCCATCATCAAATATTCCGAAAGCTCCAGGGGACCGTCCATTAAGGCTTGCAACAATATCCTCATCCCGCCACAACGAGTAATAAGTATTGGCTCTCGGATCACTGTACGAAATCGTGGATTTAATATCGATACATATTTTACGGGGTCTTCATCAATTGTCCTATTAGAAGAATCATTGAATTCTCACTTATTTCTGCTAAAGTCTCGAGGCAAATATTCCTCAGTTTATCATCTAGTTGTTCCGCTATGGAAACAATGCATCTCAATACACCAATTGGTATACGCTTCGTCCCGTCCGGAACATCAGAGAAAGTTCTTACTATTTTGATCACTTGTTCCCTTTCATCGTTGAATGAACGCGGTTCCTTTGATAAAGACCTAATATGTTGTTTGCTTAACATCCAGATGTAATGAAGCTATCGAAAGTCTTATAGGTTAACAAAAATTCTCGTACCTCATAAAAAACATATCATAATGCAAACTTATTATTTGATCCAAGGTCGTAACGTCAGCGATCAAATAACGCAAGGCCCGATAACCCGCTATTCTTACTTCCTTGACCGAGTCTGTCACACAAAATCTTAGTCTGATTGAGGATCCACAAAATGTCCATTTGAGAAAGTGAGATTAAGATCAAATAAAAGGGGAAACTCGTTGCATATCGTGAATACGCACAACATACCCCCGTAGAAAAGGCTCAGCCGGATATGTGTATTTTAACCTTTCGTGATTTTTTATCAATCGCACCAGACTCCCCAATTTGTCTACTCTTATTGCTGCTTCCTCTTCACGATTCTGAATGCAAGTCAATACATCATTTATTATTTCTGCAGGAGTTCGTGTTCTATCTGGATCACATGTAATTGAACCACATTTGCTTTATATTAGAATGTTAACTTAAGCAATCTTGGGAGGCAATTGAAGAGATCGTAATCTGAACCTTCATCTCGCTCGACATCGGATTCAATCTGCCTGATAAGATTTTGTCGAACACGTAATGAAGATCCGTCGGGC